TTTGGATTACGGCAAATATAACAGGAAAAAAATAGCAAATATATTTTCCTCAAGATTTCTGACAAACTGAAAGTATACACACTCGTGCACATATTGTTTAAATGGGCCTTCAGGTTTCTTGTTAGTAGTTGTATTACACTTGCAGGGGTTTGAAAAGCAACTCCAATCAAGGGAAAAGTCCTGTAGTGCTCAGCCGTGTCTAATATGCCAAAACTAGACTAGGACATCATATAAGCATATCAAGCAATTCTCTGTTGAAACGGATATCATCATGGTGCTTGTATAGTGTTTTCCAAACACTTTTATTATTGAGGAGCTAAATGTAGAAGTTAAATATGTGGGACTCATTCCAATTCCAGTTGCATCACTTTAATGATAGAATATTATGGCACAGCATTGGTACTGTAGGAGTAAGTACTGTACATTCGTACTTTTTAAAGGTAGGAACGAGTCTCTCCCATCTTAAGTGTATGGTTCTTCCTGTATAAATTCCACGCATTTAGAGCAAATGCTAGTTTAATGCTGAGGAACTACATCCCTTTCAATAAAACAAGTCATTTCCTAGTCTTAAAACAATTCTTTTTTTTGTATTTTCAATTCTGCATCCTAACTGTCCTCTATGAAAAATTAAGCTGGGGCTAGACATAAAACTAGTTCTAAAAAATAATTGTGACATCAGTATTAAGCACATAAACAATAACTTACAGAAAGAACTTTATTCATATCTTTAACCTCTGAAAATGCAACCCATCTAATAATTCTTCAAATCCCTTATACTGTATTCCCTCATCCTCATCTCATTTAGGGGATCACTTTGTGAGCAAATCTATTGTCTCAGAACATTAAGTTCAAAGTGATTATCCTATGTCATTTCCCATGACACTCTACATTTTGGAAATGTTCTCAATAAAGACTTAATTTCAGTGAATACTCTGTTACTAAAATGTAACATTACTGCAAAAACAACATAATATTCACAGTAGCACACGTGTACAAACTATCTTTACCATTTATCTCCACGAACTGCTTTCCCTGTAACCTGATCAATCAACTCCTCGTTCCAGGAGACAATTACCTGATGGCAGCTTAAAGATTATTTAAGCTAATTTTTAAGACAACCAGCTAAATAACAGGCAAGATATTGCTCTTTTATTAAGTCATGAGTGTACAATGCAGCATAACAAATGCAAGAGCACTGAACCGTTTCAACATCCAAACTTATAATACTCATGGAGTAATCCGTTCAGTGTATTTCACACGAGGTGAAAGGTTTAAAATTAAACTCTTCATTAAATATATTAGAACAGTCCACAAATCTCTTGTGCAAAACACAGATTTGGAATTAATATTTTATTCAATACTACAGTACATTTACATGTTATTATTTTTCTGCAGATGTTATTTTAGTTCCCTTAAGTTCTTGTATTTCTCAAAAGAAGGCTCAGTAATTGGCACTTGAGTGCAACTTACTATAAACAAACACATATACAGTACATGAACAAATCATAATGATATAAACCTTCATAGGCATCCCATCTTACAGTAGGTGTACAGTATGTGGTGCCAATTTCTTCTCATACAGCCAGTGAAAAGCAACAGATTTCCAGTCTACTGTCTGCAATTTTATTTCAGCAACCAATATTGCCATCTAATGGTATAACACCCACAAATAGAGCTGCTTTCACATGAACAAAGTGCACAAATTCAGGCAAAAACAAATATTTAGAAATGAATATGTAGAATGGTTGCCAGAGACCTTTTAATCAAAATAAATGATTATTTCAGTAATTAAAACTACTGTAGTTCTTTCAACTATTTAAGCACATGCAACTTACAACCAAAATTCTTAAGGGGCATATTGGTGACTATCACTTACAAACCTATCCAATGAATTCTGACAGTGACATTTTGTGATGGTTTTAATCATCCTATAATTTGTAAACATGAACAAGAAGCCAAGAAATTGAAACACACAGCGTAGGCTGTTCAGGACTCTACTGGGTAAATAATAATCACATCCATCAGTAATAAATTCACAGCACGAAATGGGCAACTTTAACTAAGTTAAAAAAACTTAGTAGAAAAATACGTGAATGGCTTTGAAATGCAAAAACTACTGTTTGTATGGTTATAAATCACTACAGCATGGTTCATAAACGTCTTCCCAGAAAGACGTTTATGAACCATGCTGTGAACCATGTTTAAGTATTGCTGCACATCTTTCAGTATAAACCACGGCATACTGTATTTTTACAATACATTAATACACAACAAATCCTGCAATGTTAATTCAATCAACTCTGACAGAGTCGGAAATAACACCAGATCATTCTTCTTAAGAAAGTCTGTGTTAGACTCTAATGGAACGATGCACTGTGTTGAACCACTGGTGAGTTTACACAAATTAGCATTTTAATTTAATTATCATTTTATCTAGATTATTGGACTAGAAATCTGAGTAATTTGTTACTACAGAGCAGGTAAGTGGGAGGTGAACTCCCTCATATTGTTCTGACACATCATGGCAGATTCTGATGATCGCAGGATTAGACTTAATGATTAGTTCACTTACTGTACAATTATTGGAAGCAGTTTTCCTCATATGCCTTGATACTGTAGTTCTTTGCACATATTTTATTTTAATGCGTCTTTGGATTAAGCTAAAAAAGCAGAACTCATCTTAATTTAGTTCTGAAATCAAATAGGGAATTAAAAATCCTAATATTCTTGATGTCTACTTAAATTCCTGAATGAAAATCTTGAAATCATGTCTCCGTATTACCCTCTACTGTGTTGTTCACATAGTATTCAAAATCTGATTCTGTTCAATTGGGTACTAACTGTAAGTGCAATAAAGATTTAAAATATTAATGCAGTGACAATTCAGTGAAATTAGGTGATAAGATTGATCAGTTTTCTTACATTGGCTTGAAAGGCTTCATTCTACGGCTGAAACACAAGTTTGTACGGAATGCAGTGTAGCTGCATAACACAAACACGTCACTTTTCATTATGCATCTATCATTGACTGCAGTCACTTTTGAATTTCACATTGGTACTTGCAGTTTCTAAGGATTCTCAGTGTGTGTATCCAGGTATTAGAATCTAACAACAACCTAGTGTTGAATCACACACAGAATCAGCCTGCACCCCATTGCAAAGCCTTTGATTCTAGAAGCTAACAAATCAGACGGACATTGTAAGCATTATCTCTTTTCACAAGCACATTTCTTCAGTGATGTTGCATAGACACTACACTACACAGTAGAATACTTAGTATTAACTGCACGCATTAAAGTTAATGAAGCAGCACAGTAAGTCTATGCTACAACAGGTACTCTGTTTCAGTTTATCTCTTTGCTGACCTGTATTAAGAGTGCACGTAATGGAGACAGAGGCTTTACTTTGGAAAACATTACCACACTAAGCCTTAAGGAAAGTATGTAAAGACCGTGGTTGCTGACTAGTACAATGCATTGACAAATAAGACAGATACCATACAGTATGCACTGTGCTTAAGTGCTTCAACAATTATATTTAAAAATGATGCCGTTACAGTGAGTATATTGAACAATTCCATCTTCTCTTTAAGGAAAGACAACCAAGTGGAATAGCAATAATATTAGCTGGGAAGTCCATTACAGGGGTTACAACTGTCTGCCTAGAAGATTTAATCAGTTTTAAATCTTTCAATCAATTAACCATACAGTACGTGTTGCATTTAGTGTAGACGTAGCCATTTCTTATTACATAACATACATACAAGAGCCAAGATATTTGTACTTTCTTTGGATACATAAAGTAGGTAATATTAGTCACTTCATTGTAACTGAAGACAAGAAAAGGGAGACTTAAAATCCCTGCTTGATCACGTTTCAAGTGCAGCCTGCATACAAATTCATCTCCTCTTGTTCGTGCAAGAGTGTAGTACGGCAACGAAATTATACCAACATTATATAATGTATGAAAACCGCTTTTTCCGTTGTTTCCACTTTGTGGCAGAAGCCAAACGCATTTTAGCATATGATTGATGAGAACCTATTCAAAACCGATGGCTACTGTATGTTAAGACCCGAAAGCTTCTAACAGTATGAATTCATTGATCGGTCTTCCTTATCGTGAACAATACACGTTGCCTACTTTCGCTGCCACTGGGGCATCACATTCGCTTTTTTAACAACGTGTCACACAAAGGAACATACAGCAAGTAACAATAAAAAAATAAGGCTGAATGTAGTGCGCCAAACATAAAAAGGTGAATTTTAGGATGCCACTTCTGCCACAGAAATAACCGAAGGCAAGATATCGTGGGCAGACTGCAATACAGTATTAAGACTGCAATACTCTATTTCAGATCAGCAATGCGCTTCAGCGTCGAAATGATTGTTCTAGTACAAAGGGAATCATAGCTAAGTGCTAGAACTGTAATAAAATAGCCGTCAGAAGCGGAAGCAAATTGCATGCCAATCTACAGACAATTACGATTCGTTGCTGATCAATTTGCCCAAAGAAAAAAAGAACGCATTTTTATTCGAGCCAGCTACCGAGGTCTTTCAAACATACAGTACTGTAGGTATAGAGTCATATACTGCTTGACTGTAACAAAGGATACATTTTAGCTCAATTTACTAACAATCGCTATTAAAATATCTACTTCGCACTGGAAATAAATACACGAGCCTTTGAGAACACCTAGGCTTGCGGTTGTTTGAACACCCACGTCTGTAAGGTTTATAATTTCAGAAATGCAGTTTTTCAAACACTACCATCACACGCAGGTACGGTAGATTCACAGACCCAAAGCACTGCATTCCCCACCAAAAACCAAAAGGAGAGATCAATCGCAATTCTTGGTGGGCTGGGTGTTATAATACATCGAATTGAAATTGAAAAACAATTCAAGACCTGTTGGCCACTCCGATTAAAACTAACAAAACAGCTCAGACAACGAATTGTAGCATTTACCAACTTGGCGCATCTCGTCAAGCAGTTATACTTACAAGCGTATGTCATTGCAAAGCTATTCCCAATATGCACCATATCCACCTGGGGTACCAGTTTGGGGATGTCTTGATGATGCGATAGTGCAAATCGAAACACTTCATATTCGTGTGAATTTGTGGGAAACAATCCCCCTGAATAACAAAAAGGAAAATACAAAATGTTACAAGAGAGAAAAAAAATCTCGACATCGATAACTTCGAACTAATTTGGAATAGCCCGTTTTTCATTACTCGTAACAAATATAAACATTTACTGTGTTCCCCTAAGCCTGCCTAATTTGTCAAAAAGTAAAAACGGCATAGGCATCAATACCACTTCCAATAAAGAAAAAAACAAAGATGTTAAAATCCGACATCACCATTTCTTTACTCACCTATATTGATATTACTTGGAAAACTTGAACCTAAACACACCCCCAGAAAGCTGGTGTAGAAGAGAGTAAAACTGCGCTGCATATTTCCTTTTGCATTGGCGAAGAAAAAGCTGAATTCCAACCATAGATAGATCTCTTTTTTTCGCTCTTCGGGTCTCGGTGTACTTACAATGCTGCCTAAACAGCAAATGACAGCAGGATTAGCTGAGCTCTCAGTGAAACCCTCTTCACTCTCGGTGAGCAGTTAATGCTAATATCCTTGGCTACTAAGAGCCGTGGCTGGGAGCCCTAACTGCGATTCCCAGAGGGAGAGATGATCGTGGGTGTCTATTATTTACAGGTGGGGGATCCCTTCACAATTGTTTTTCCTTCATAAACAATCTTTTGCCGTCTGTAACTTTCTGTGACATCTCTGTTAAAATAATCCTGTAAGAAATGCCACAGCACAGTATATGCTAACAAGCTGTTCGAGGATGAGAACACAGTGTTTTAACCCCTGCAGACCATACCATTTGCAATATGAATGACTGTAGTCCTCTTTTTTTTTCCTCGGGAATTGCATCTAAGAGCTGTCACTCAAGCAAATTTCCGTATTGGTCAAGAGAACACCGGAAAGGCAAAGTTTAAATTAGACTGGAGTGAATTTTGATTGAGGTAACCACATGGCCGTGAAGGAGGAAGTTGAGTTAATATCTCGCTCGACAAAGGTTGGCTTTGGAGTTACTCCTGATAATGATGGAATCAGCCACTGTAGTGTACTGCTGTCACAGCTGGTTATGGCAAGTCATCGTCATCATATTGTATCTCTAGTGAGGGGACAAAAAGGAAAGTCGGGGTTTCAAAGATTAAACAAAAAAGTCGACGTTTCAAAACTTAAACAGCAAAGCAGGTGCTTCAGCTTTGAGCTAAAGTGTCTTTAAATAAGTGTTATTTCAAGTCATTTTTGTCATATTCAAGTAATATTTCAAGTTATTTTTAGTCATTTTCGGACAACTGTTGTTCTCAGGTCAATAGAGCACGCAAACAATAATTAAATGGATATTCATTGAGCAGGATCTGTTCACTGCTTGTCCAAGTTAGAAAGACCCAGTAAATTCACAGCCCCCACACTTTCTCCTGCCTCTGTCTTATAACTGTGATTTTCCATGCCATTGGTTTGAAATGTTCACCAGAAAAGGCACAATATTGCTGTTCTTTAAGGTCACATTAGGCTTCAAATCAATTATTCAATAAATCTACCACTCACATGTTTTACACCCTGGGTTTGTGCCATGAAATATTTATGCCATACAATAGCCTTTTAACAATTAAACTTGAGTCTGTGAGTGCTGCTTTTTAGATTTTGCTTGAATTCCCCTGTGACCCTGTATTGGATAAAGTGATTAGAAAATGGATGGATAGATAACCATAAACTGAATAAACTGTTGTAGACTCCCTTTATCCAGTTCTCTCTCTCACAGCTGCAAAGCAAGACCCTAGTTAAGAAACAAAGTTTTCAAAACATGACTTTACCTCAGAAATCTGCATAAGACAAGGGGTTAAGATATATACAAAAACTGCCATGAATAAATGACAATTGTGGGAAAAATGGTATATGCTATTTTTTTATGGCGACATAACCCCTTTGGTCTTGCCACATGACTGGACTTTTGGCTGACTGGGCCTGTTCATCTGGTTCTTTGCTGTGAGGCTTTGAGTAAAGGGAGAATCCTGAGAGTTGATGGATTAAATCCCCACCACCAGTAAACTCCACACATGAACTTAAAATTTAAAGGGAGATGTCAAGATGTGTCATTTGAATTAGTAAGCATAGCAAATGTACTAAATACTCTACTGTATATCCAAGTAATGCATGGTAAATACATATATTTTACAATAAGAAAAGATGAACACACATACAGTATACTGTAGTAATAGCACCTTTAAATATTCCCAGTCTATCCCAGTCTGCACTGTCACTGCGTATTCATGTCAAGAGGACAGAGAAGCTTGCATAATGAAGTAATTACATTGATTAAAAATTTGAGTTTCAATGAGTATACAGGTAGGAGGCAGTTGCATATAATTTCTCTGCAGTATGGATGTATTTGGTATAACCTACCATTTTGACCTAAATTATTTAAGAAGAAGAATTCAATTCTGTAAAACACGGGGTATTGCAACATTGATATTTCCATTTTACTCTTGTGATTTTGCTTGTAAAGCAAAACTGAAAAACACTGATGCACAATATGTCTTACAAAGCTGGTGTTTCCATTCTTAATATCACAGGAAAGTGTCCTTGTAATTCTACTGTCATGCAAATACCTCCTATCTGCTTTTATGGGTTTTGTTCTGTTTTTTATTAATGATAGAAAGGAAATTTCCATTGTCACATTACTATAGGACAAATGTTCTCTGCCCGAACTGACTAAAAAGAAAGAGACAGAGAAACCCCACAGCTCTAGGTCTGTTTTGGATGGAAAGGTAATGTTCTGGTATCTGACAATGAAGTGTTAGTACTGTAATACAGTCACTAATTGGTCTAGTAAGGAGAAGAATAGTCCTCAGACACAAAATATAGCTTTTGAGTGAATCTGAACTACTGTAGACCTTAGCCTTTTAAGATGAAGTCTGAAGTAACACTCACATGAAAGAACAGCAGCCCTCAAGAAATGATTAGGTAAAAATGGTCTTTTCAATGCAAAGCTGTACCTGACTACCATGTGTGAAAGTGTACCTGCCGTTTTCTTCTTTGCTGAGAACAACTGTGTAAAATATCGGAATGTGATGTTAAAGTGACACTGCAAACATGTAGCTAAAGGCAACATTGGAACTTTTTAATCTAACTGCAAAGTGTTACATCTACTGTAGCATGATCCCAACTCCTTTAGTCAATCAGTCAACACCACCCCTACTGTCAAGCATGGTGGCATGGTGGTGGCAGCATTGCATTATGGGGCTGATTCTCCTCTGCTAGGACTGGGAAGCTTGTCAAGATTGAGGGGGAAAACTATAGAGGAAAGTAAAGGCAAATATTGGAGAAAACCCCTATTATGTCTGTTAAAGATATGAAGAGACAAAACTGAATCACAATCTATCATAATTATTGTACCATGACATGGTATGAGGGAAACTGTTGGGCCTGCGAGGCCCAGAGGTCTTTTTTGATAGTTTTAGTTTTGCCTTGCCTCCACGCCCAACGGTCAATTGTTATTATATCGTTAACTGCTATAGACGTCTGTGAAGCATCGTGTGGCAAAGTGTTGCAAAGGGAACTGTAGCAAATAAGATGATTTATTGATTGAAAATTCAATTTTCAGCAGAACACAGACCCAAAACACAAACCTGGGCTACAGTGGAGTGGCTTAACAAGAAGAAAGTGAATGTCCTTGTGATTCAGTCTGACTTGAATCCAACAGAACATCTGCAGCAAACTTAAGAATCGCCGTCCAGCAATGATCGCCAGAACAGTTTCACAGAGTTTGAGCAGGCTTGCAAAGTAGAAGGGGGACAATTTGTACCATTTGGATGAGCAAAGCTGGTAGATCCAGAAACACTCACAGCTGTAGTTGCTGCCAGAGGTATATCCACCAAATATTATTTAGGAGGGTGAATACCTATGCACTCAATGTATTTTAGTTTTGGACATTTCTTTGTAGTTTGTGCTGACATTTAACTTCTTGTCCCATAAAAGTGTTCAGTTTAAGCAAGCAAGTTTTGAGTATTAACAACAGAGCCTCAGATAAAATTGTTTAGTTAAAAAATAAAATATGAATATACTTTAAGTGATAATAATAATTAAATAAACTAAAAAAACTAAGTTGAAAACACAAAGTAGTCTCTGAATTTAGCTGTACCTGTACCTACTGTATCCAATCTGGACCTATATCTTTGTATACCACAGGAATTTCATACATTTTTTATTTGATTATTATTCTAATTACAGTATAAGGTTATGTAACACATTTGACTTCTGCACATGGATGATTACAATCCAGGCTATTATTCATTTATTGCTGCAGTTATTTGTTAGAATAAAGTTCTAAATCCTTAACTATAATACTTTGATTCACTAAGGATTAAGGATAAGCTCATTTATCAGACACTTGACGATTGATTTTTCAGGCTTGAACTATAATATGTTTTTTTTATTCATTGTTTTGAGCAAAAAAAAAAGTTTTATGAAATCTTTTTTTTTTTCTGACGATTAAACCTTACATGGAATTTAGCTTTGACAGAATTATGACAAAAAGCCTAAAAAGTAACCAAGACCAAAAAGTTAAATGTTCAGGTGGGTAGCTGCGTCAGCATGCGTAGGCTGCAAAACACCTCACACCTGAAGAAGGCTCCAAGGCCGAAACGTTGCGTTTTCTTTCTTCTTTTTTTCAGCATGGAATAAACCTATTACTTGTTCCTAAAATTTAAATGTCCACATGGCATTGGAGCAGATTCAGAACACAGCAAACACAGGCCGTACAAGACACATTTACATTAATAATCTATTAAAAAATATTTTAATGCCAATATTAACATCGTATAAGAACAGTATTAAAAGGCTACAGGTGGAAACCAGATATTACACTCTGTAATATCAATCCTTCTATCAAATATCAGGAAGCAGCTTAACCTGGTAAGAATCATAGCACCACAGTGCCTATCCTGGAAGTATAGAGTGCAAGGAAGTCCATGTCCCGTATAGTTCACAAACTCAATACTCCAATCAACCTGGATGGCATTATAGGAAATAGAGGCTTGACTTCTCTGCCCTGTCTCTGCTGCAGGGAATAATATAAGCAAGTATTAGTCCTACAAAAGGCTAGGCATGGAAGCAGAGTTCTAGAAGAGAAAAAGGTGTTATTGAGTCTGCTTTTGTCCTATTTGTTGGAGGAAGGGAGGAAACCGGTGGCCCCGTGGAGAAGGAACATACAAACTCCACCCAGAAGGCACACCAGGCAGGTGTTGATTCCAGGACCAGCATCTCTCAGAAATACTGAAACTAATTTATTATTCACACCACAGTTTTTAAAGGCCAAGGACAGGGTTGTAATTTAATGATGTGCTGTATAATCAAAGTATGCAGTTATTTCTGGACCAGAGATACTGTATTTTCCACCTTTTGGCTAAACGCAACAGAGTGCAGATAATTCTCCACTGCCTTAAAGTACATTCAGCACACGTTGGTATTCGATATATTTTGTTTTACCCTGATGCTGAAATGCATTATACAGGTTTCTGCATGAATTCTCCTTAAACACACTGAAGACATTACAGAAAACAGAGGCTGGGTTTTAGGAATGATATGAGCAAGTGTGAGTCTTACAAAAGAAATACAATCAGGTTTCCAGAAGAGAAAAGGTGATTTCAAGTCTGCCTTTGTCACAAATGCATCTACAAGCTTTGAAAGCTTTAAACGAGTGCAGCAGATTGACTGTACAGGAAAAACATTGCCAACAGAAAGAAATGGAGAATATGCAGTGGAAGGAACAAAAGCTAAACTA